CTGGAACAGGCTGAGGACACGACACGTCCCCTACGGCTGGCAAGGCTTGTCCCTTGCAGGTACAGACCCAGCTGGGATGGGGGTCACAGCCGATGGGGTGATTTAGGATGTGGGGCAGTTCAAGGGGCTCGGGGACCCAGCAGAAGGGACTGGTGACATGAGACAGGCAGAGAAGGCAGAAGGAGCCAGGGACCTTGATCTCTCCCCACTTCACCTCCTGGGGCACGGGGTGGAGGGCATGGCTTTGCAAAGGCCTCTTGCTGCATCTTGTGACATTTTCCCTGAATAAAAGCTCCAGTGTGTGCATGATTATTAACTGGGGCTGGAGGAGCTTGGACAACCAGCTCCATTGTTGTGGATGGAGATTGTTTCCCTTCCCACCCCAAACCCACGCTCTGCTCTCCCTGTCAGCCGCCGGCTTCAATCCCTGGGCTGGGAAGTGCTGGGGACAGCAGGGGGGAGTGAACTGGTGGCCATTGCAAAGAGAAATTGTGAGGAGGGGATATGGCCAGCACAGGCAGCAGCATCAGCAAGGCTGGGGCTGGAGATGTCTGGATGTGACCCTGTGCCTTGCACGGCCTTGAGTGCTGCTGTTTGGAGCAGGGTTAGAACCATGGTGGGGGGAGCTGAGAGTGGGTGACACAAAGCCTGGGAGAGCAGGGACTGCCCGGGGTCCCCATATCCCGCCTTTAGGCCCCTCTCCTGCACAGGGATGGTGTGAGTTTAGTGTGCTGCTCCTGCACGTGCTCCGTGCTGTCGCACACTTCAACACACACGTGCTCACGTGGGCTGACACACCTTTTCCTCACTGACCGCTCCCATCCTGCTCCATTCCAGTGGTGGGCAGCACCCTCCGGCTCCTCAACGCCTCCGCCAACAGGCACCTCTTCGACAGGGCCGCCCTCCCCGGGGGCTGTGTCCGCTGTGCTGTGGTGGGAAACGGTGGAATCCTCAACGGCTCGCGGCAGGGCCAGGCCATCGACGCACACGACCTGGTCTTCAGGTGCGCGCGGGTCCCGGGCAGGACTGGGGCTGTGGGTGCTGGGGAGGGCCCAGCCCTGGACACGTGTCCTGCGCTTTTCCCGCAGGATCAACGGTGCCGTGATCAAAGGCTTCGAGGAGGACGTGGGCACCAAGGTCTCCTTCTACGGCTTCACGGTGAACACCATGAAGAACTCCCTCATCGCCTACGAGGAGTACGGCTTCACCCGGATCCCCCAGGCCAAGGTGACACCCTGAGGGCTTGTTGGGCACGTGGTCCCGAATTGTCCCTTGAGGCTGGGCTTGCCCGCGAAACCTTCTCCCTGTCTCGGGAGCCCTCAGTCCTTGCCAGCCTGCATGGGCACTGCCCTGTTAAGCCCCTCCAAGTGCCACATCTGTGCCCCCACTGCAGGACCTGAAGTACATCTTCATCCCCTCGGATGTGCGGGACTACGTCATGCTGAGATCGGCCATCCAGGGCAGCCCAGTGCCCGAGGGCTCGGACAAGGGGGATGAGTGAGTAGCCCCCCAAAAGGCCCCCCAGCACCTTCAATGATGCAGGCATGACTTGCCTGCCCTCACCCCAACATCTGCCCCTGCTGGGACAAACCCCAAGTAGCTCCAGGACTCCTGTGACACAGTTTTGCCCTTCTCCTTGCCCTGCTGCAGGCCACAGAAGTATTTTGGACCGGAGGCATCTGCAGAGAAGTTCAAGTTGCTGCATCCTGATTTCTTGCAGTACCTGACAGCAAGGTGAGGATGATGAGGATGGTGGCTGCTGTTCAGCTCTGCTCCAGGCTGGACTCAGACCGCTTGCCTCTGCTCTCTCCAGTATGGACCAGTGGCTGCTCAGCATCAAAGTGTGTTCCCAGTCCTCCCCAGACAATGGAACCACCTCTGCCCTGCTGTTTGCAGACAAGGCTGAGGCACCTCTCCCCTGCCGCTCCTGCTCAATGCAGCAGAGTTCACATCCCCTCCTACACCTCTCTGTGGTCACCTGGCTCCCATTCCCCAAAATAAATTACATTTTGTCCCAGTCTAACAGGAGCAGAGGTAGGGTCTAACGGGAGTGTCTTTTCCTGCCTCTCATGAAAGCAGGCATCTGGGTTAGGGTGATTCCAAACAGCAGAGAGGTGCCTTTTACCAACCTGCAGCAAATGAGCTCAGCCTTAGTAGCAGTCACCAGAGAATCCACCCCAGTCCTGTGTTTCACTCGGTGTTCCTGCCTTACCAGGGCCTGGCATCACCCAGTGCATGGTGGGGGCTGGATGGGTGCAGGTCTGGGGGCTGTGGTGCCATGCCAGCTGTGACCCCCCACCCCTGCCATGTCCACTGCCAGGTTCCTGCGATCAGAGATCCTGAACACCCAGTACAGCTCCCTCTACATGCCCAGCACAGGTGCCCTCATGCTCCTCACCGCGCTCCACACCTGCGACCAGGTAAGAGGCCACGAGATCACCTTCCTGCTGGAGACGAGGGGATTCCCCCTGCTTTGGCTGCTGTGGGGCTTCTGGTGGGGACCAGCCTGTTCTGGTGGCTGTCCTACATGCCCCCTGGAAGGTGGGGGGGGGGGGGCAGTGGTGAATAGACCACCTGAAGTAGAGCCCTGACCCCATCCTTTGTCTGTCCCTCCCCACAGGTCAGTGCCTACGGGTTCATCACTGCCAACTACGAGCAGTTTTCAGATCATTATTACGAGGTGGAGAAGAAACCTCTGGTGTTTTATGCCAACCATGACATGATGCTGGAGGCAGCGCTGTGGAGGAGCCTGCACCGGGCCGGGATCATCACCCTCTACCAGCGGTGAGGCCGGGAGGTTGCCCACAGGGGCAAGTCCAAGGACTCCTGTGGCTCTTCTCTTTCCCGAGGGCCACCTTCTCTCTCCCGAGGGCTCTCCCCAGCTGGTCGGCCAGCCCGTGGAGCAGACCTGCCACACTGCAGCTGGCAGTGGCGTGAGGGTTAAGGGGGAAGCTGAAGCTGGTAGAGAAATGTTGCCTTTCCTCAGGGATCTCCTGAAATGTTTCAAGGCTCAGTGTGATTGAACATGGCCTTTGGGGCATCAAGAAGCACCACAGCATGTGGCTGTGACCTGCCAGCCCCATGAACATGGCTGTGGGGCAGCAGTGGCCCCTGTGGAGCCCAGGAGGGGCAGGATGATGCTGGAGTTGCTGGAAAACACCTCGCCATCGTGCTCCAGCTCAAATGCTCATCACCGTGGTGGCACAAGGGGCAGGATGAATCTGTGGACTAGAGACCAGATCGTCCAGCTGATAAGAAGGTGGTGTGTTTGGAGAGCACCTCTCCTAGACTGCAGAAAGGCCCAGCTGCAGCCAGCTCTGTTTGTGTGTGCTGCCTTCCAGAAGGATCTGTTTGTCTCCGTGATCAGTGGCACAGACAGGGGTGTGGCTGCCCTCTCCTGTGACAGACACACAGCGTGCCCCGTCACTGACCCCTTCTCTAGGTCTGGTGTTTTCAGACAAGGAAGGGTTTTAAAAGCCATCAGCTAAGAGTAGGGTCACAGCAGCTCAGCTCAGCTGGGACACCAGGAATGTGTCCAGCCCCTGAGCAGCCCGGAGGTGACACTGGACTGAAGCCACACGTGTGGCACTGAGTTTGTTGGGCCTTTCTTGCACAGGGACCCAGGGTTGTGGTGCCCTTTGAGAGGCAGTCCCGTGCCAGGTGAGTCACAAGTGATCATCACTCTTTTTAATTTCCTCCCTAAAGCCCCAGGGAGGTGAAGGTCCTGAACCAGCTCTGCTCAGGGAGACCCAAGGGGGACACTCCTCCAGCTGGAGGGTGGATACAGAGCAGTGTAACCCAAGACACTTCCCCACTTTGTGTAATCACATAAATGTTGAATGGTTGTTTTCTTTAATGCCTGTTTCTGTTGTTTTGATGAAGGGGGGGGGGCGGTGAGAGCCCCCCCCCTCGGGCAGCAGAGCAGTAGCAGGTAGTAGAGCAAACCCTTGACTGGGGAACAGCCCCAGAGGCTGATGGGGATGGGGGCAGGTTTAATCGTGAAGATCTGGGCTGGCAGGGAGGCCCTGGTAGCTCAGAGCATGGCCCTTTTCCACTTGGAATGCTATTTGCTGTATGAGGTTGCTGTACAGAGATGGCAAAAGATACCCTGGCCATGAGCCAGGGAACCTCCAAACCCCCTCAAGCTCCCAAGCAGGCTGTTTCCAGCTGGTTCAGCTACAGAAGGTTAGGCTCCAAGCCTGCTTCAGATGTAATCTCTAGCTTGGGGCCCACCTTGTGTTCCCACGTCTCAAATTAACCTTTGTTCCCATCAGAGCCACCTCACACTGGTACCACGGCAGCCTGTTAGGCCTGTTTTGTGTTCGCACTCAGCAAAAACCTCTTTCGTGACAAGAATGAGCCTGATCCTCACATCACCTGCCCGACGCTCCAAAACCTCCTCAAACCAGCTCTGGCCAAACCTCAGGTGACATCAGCAGCACCTTGAGACACAGGGCAGGAAGAGCAGGGTTTAGAGGGAAGTGCTGTCCCAGGGCAGCATCCTGCCTGGAATCATCCAGCTCATGGGCAGAGCTGTTTGTGCACATCAGAACCACACCATGCATCTTCCTCTCCCTTCTCAAAAAAGGGAGGTTTCCCAGCCCAGGGTGGAGCCTAACACTGGAGTTTTAAGGACTTACCATCAGATGAACCTAATGACTCTACTACTGCCTCTCACCCCCTTATCTCTGAGCTCCCAAGCAGACCACAAGAACCGTTTTTGTCACCAGACCTGGCTTAGCCATAAGTAGTTTTGTCCCCAGGAATTGCTTTCCTTCAACTTTCAGCATGTGCACACACTGAAGTCTTTGGGTATCAGGTTTGCTAGGAAGGGTAAGCTCACAACTGCTTGACTTTCAGGAAATGTTTCAATCTAAAATCCTTTCTACCTGCACAAAACCATTTCTGTCCAAGCAGAATCACAGAATCGCTAAGGTTGGAAAAGACCTCTTAAGAGCATTGGGTCCAACCTTCACAAAAATAACTAAACAAAACCCAACTTCAACTCACAAGGTTTCCCATAATTTAAATTTATTTTATTCTGGAACAGAAGAAACCAGGGAATCACTTTTTCATCCAGCCACCTGTAGGTCAGATCCTAGCAGAAAAAAAAAAAGACAGTGTCAGAACAAAGTAACTATCAGCTGTGAAGTTCCTGATTTGCACTATTTAATCTAGAGTACACATCTCAGGAGAGAACTTGCTCCCACGCCAGCCAATGGCACCAGCACCCAAATCCTCTTTGGCTTTAGTGGTAACTTACCTATGGTGTGGTTGCAGCAACCCCTGAGCAGCGAGGAGGAGCCTGTGGTTACACAAGTCACTTATCAGTGGCCATCTGTGACACTCAGTCCAAAACAATCTTTATGCTGTTGCTTCTAGAGCTGGAAGACATCACAGAGCAAGGCTGTAAATGTTTCCTTAAAGAAGTCTGCTCTGAAACAATTCCTGCCCCTCTAATCTCAAAGCACTGAGTAGCTTTTACTCTTCCCATTTATCATCAGGCTGCCTCTTCATCTTTTCTCCCCTTACTCCTTGGAAACCAAAAGCCCCATGTGCTTTTCCCAGGGGCTGATCCTGCTTGGAACACAGCTGTATTGCCAGAGCACCCAATGTGACTGGTGGTTTGTGGGGCCATTCCTTCCCTCCCCTTTCACACATCAACCTTGATTTCTTAAGACATTCCCTGTCATCAACTTTGCCGGCTCAGCCCGTCGGAAATTGTTATTGACCTTCTGCAGCAAAGGAATTCTGTTAAATAAAGCGTAAAACCATTTAGCAGAATGCAGCTGTCAGCTGCCTGGAGACAAAGTGCTGTTACAGCCTGTGTATTCAATGACTGTACATCAGGCAAAGATAAAAAATGCATCTATTATTTGCCCTTCAACCTGTCACTGTTTGCTTAAAAGGAACTTAAAAGCTCTTTGCAGCTCTAAACTGTGCTATGACAACAGCAGCTCATGATCAGCTCCAGAGCCATGCCTGGGCTGCGGGGAGCTGGGTCTGGGACAGCACTTGTGCTGGTGCCACTTGTCACAGGGTGGGAGGACAGGGCACAGTGCCCCACCAGTGCCACTCGTGTTTGTGGAGTCTTTGCAAGGAGACCCCACCAAGGGAAGCACATGAGCCTCAGTGGAGTTTTTTCCTCACAGCAGTGTCAGACAGGGATAACAGCACATCACAGGCTCAGTTTCTCTCCTTGCCCTTGGCTACACGACCCCCTCGAGTCCCACAGAGCCACGCACAGCATAGACACCCAGGTGCCACCATGCTGATGGCCAGTGCTCTTCCTGGTACTGCTCCTGGTAAAGCCTCCAAAGATTAGGTACTCTGATCAGCACATGAGTCATGCTACCTACACATCTGGCATATAATTAATGAATTTAAAACAAGCAACACACAATACTGAAAAATTCCCTTACCAGCTTAAGCCCAGCTTAGCAGCTGCCCTCTTGTCAAAGCTGTGTTTGGGCAACAGCAGCCCCAGGACTCTGCAGGACCATTTCCTCCTAAATACAAGTTACAGTGAGAACTGTCAACAAAAGTACTTTAAATAAAGTTTGTCCTCCGCTCATTTCCTTTCCACCCCTTCCAAAAAAAACCCAGCCCTGGGTCACTGAGCGAGAATTAGAGACAGAAATTCTCCACTCAGAGACAGCAATTTTTGCCTCACAAACTCAGCACAGCAGAATCCTGTCCCTCAGACACAGAGGAGCATGACTGCCAGTGGGCTGTCTCACTCGCAGACAAGAAACTTTGGGAGGTGGATGTTATTTAAATCCCTGCTTAGGAAAAGAAAACCACCAGCTCTCAGACATTGGTAGTTTGGACCCTTTTAAGCTGTTTCAAGCTGACATCCTCCTCCTCATCCTCCTCCACAAACATCTTAATCCAACCCCCTCCTTGCACACAAGAATAATCCATCCATCCAGCGTGTAATTTGTCTGTGAGTTTACCCTGAGAAATGCATTCATCAGACCTAAGACAGACACATCCCCTCGGGGGAAGGATTCTTCAGATTGTGTCCTTTCTAGGATGACCCTTTGGGGCACGTCCCCACCCCCAGCAACCTGATGCAAGCCTGAAACTCTCCCAGGGCACCTCCAGGAAGGCAAACAGAGCAATTATTCTTTCACTGCTGTCTATTTCTGTGACAGACACAGTTATGAGATGAGCTGTGTCAAGTGTCTCCATAATGGGCTGACATCCAATCCCTCCTACCTCTAATCCCTTCTGCTCTGGCTCATCTTTGATCACGATGACAAGCAGGTGCTCTGCTGGGCACCAACACCAGTAAAATTCCCATTCATTCCGTGCTGCCTTTCAGCTTATGCTCCATGGCAGCAAAGGGCAGCACACTCGAGTGGCAGCTGCAACAAAGCTACAGCCTTGATTGGCTTAATTATATTAATCAAGCCACTGGGCTTTGATATCCCCTCCCAGGAGCCCCAGAGACACAAGGATATCATCTGACACTGAAAAATGAGTCTTATTTCCGTAGTCCAGCAAAAGGAGTAGAAAATTAAGACTATGGCAAGAGAAATGCTGATGTTTCTCACCACTGTGCAGCTGTGCTGTCAGTCCAGTAGATAAATCAGGTCCCCAGCCAGATAAGTGTTTTAATCCTTTCCTGACATCGCGCCAGGCTCTGAAAGGGAGGAACAGCACAGAGTTAGTTCATGTAGCAAACCATTCCTTTACCTTTGCGTCTTTAACGCCGAGCCTCAGAGTGATACTTCCACAGAGGAAAAGATCAGTTTCAGACAGGGATAACCTTTATCATCACTAGCTCAGCTCCCAGAACAGACAAACCGCGGGGCCTCAAAACCTCGGGCCTGTTCTTGCCCTCGTGGCTCCTCAGCCGGGGCAGCACCGACACCCGCGGGCAGGCGTGGCTGCCCTGACCCACCGCTCCGGGGAGCTCGGACACGCCCGGCGGCAGCGCTCAGGCTGAGCTACACCCGCTGGCTATAAAATACTCTCCCACAGGCGCTGTGGGGAAGAGCCGGCACAAGCGGAGCCAAACCCAGCGAGTTGAGGATCCCGCAGCGCGCCCGGCCTTGCTCCCTCCATCCACCACGCCCGGGGGGGGGCGCACCATTACGCACTCCCCCGCAGCCATCGAGGCCTCGCAGCAGCCCTACAAGGGGTCCCGGCGGTGCACGGGAGTCCCCCGCACACCCTCCCGCCGTCCCCGCGCCCATCGGGGCCGCCGTGCCCGCGGATGGCGCCGGATGGCGGCCGGTCCCGCTCACCGCACACAGCTGCGCCGCCATGCTGCTCCCGTGCGCCGCGGGGAGGGCGGGGCCGCGCGCGGGGGCTCATGGGAAGTGTAGTCCAGCCCCCCCTCTCGGAGCGCGAGGGCGGATGGGAAATGTAGTCCCGCCCTCCCCGAGATCCATTGCCCCCCCATCCCGCTCGTTAACGGCATTTATTAATTATTTATTAATTCTTCACGTCTCCGGCACGCTAAGGAGATGTGCGTGATTGTGCTTAGCGCGCTAAATGCTTCAAAAGGCTGAACAAGCATTAGCTCGTGGAGGAAGGGGCTAATTAGCCAGAGATCGGGGATTAGTCAGAGATTAGTTACTAAATGTATGTGCCGTGCTTTGAATAAGCGACGCTTCCAGGATGTGCTGTGATTGTCCTTCTCTGTGAAAACCTGTCATGAAATCCACAGGATCCTGTCTGGCTTACATATGAAACTATAAATGAAATTATAACTTCCATATGAAACTATATATGATCCTATTTACATTATATATGAACAATAACACAGTGTGAACAGAACCAAGGGGAGGAAAAATAAGAACTGCCAATTTCACTTTCTTGCCACAGAGGTACATCCACCCTTCTGGAGAAAAGCTCCAGTGCCAATCAATGGAAAGCAGTCAAACTAGAATCTGAAAGCAGCAAAATCTGAGTACAGGTGACAAGCCCAGAGTCACCTCTGAAATGTCTGAGAGCTGAGGAGTCGTCTCTCTGCTCCTGGATTCCCTCCGACAGCAGGAAGATCACAGAATCAGAGAGTGGTTTGGGTTAGAAGGGACCTCAAAGATCCATCGCCCCTGCCACGGGCAGGGACACCTTCCACTAGCCCAGGTTGCTCCAATCTCCATCCGACCTGGCCTTGGACACTTCCAGGAATGGGGCAGCCACAGCTTCTCTGGACAACCTCTGGCAGGACCTCCCCACCCTCACAGAGATGGTTCCATGCTGCTGCCTGCTCTGGGAGCCCCTTCTCCAGGCAAGGCAAACGAGTTCCCAGGAAAAGACAGCGTGACTTCAAGTTTATTTTTAGTGCCTGGATCCTCCTGGCCTTGCTCCTATTTTAGAACCTGATTTTTTTTTTTAATTTATTCCAGAGCACAGATTTAACCCAACTCACAAGTCCTTTACTCTTTTACACAAGAATGGCCCATGTTGTTCCTTAAATCTCTCTTAAAAAGCCAACGGGCTGCAAAAGGAACTTTTTTTTTTTAAGTGGTCCAAGAAGGCTGTAAACAGATACCAAGGTGGTGCTAAAAATAAGCTGCTTCCAAATTAAGCAGCTGACTGTGAGGTGTTCCCCAGCCCTCTGTGCCCTCTGATAGCTGCAGAAAGCCTCACAGGCTGCCCTGGTTGGATGGGCAGGACCTGGGGGAAGCAGCTTTTGGTGAGTCCTATGCTCTGGCTTGAGGACAAAAGAGATTCCGTGCCTTCCTGCCCCACAGGAGTGTTTGGCCTGGTAGGAAGGCAGATGATGATACAGAACAGCAATAATTAACACAGCCCTTGTTGCAGCGGCCTTTGCTCTGTGAAGACGGGGCTGGCAATCTGCCTGGCTGCTTTTAGCTTCCCAAATAAGCAAATATGACCCATCACAAATAGAATTAGCCATTTAAGTCCCCAAGGGACATAAGTTTTTAAAAACAAAACAACTAAAATCCCCCCTTGTGCAGAGTTCAGATCCCGGGAGAGAAGACGTAGACTTGGATGCGCTGAGGGATTTGCCAGCGTCTTGATTTTCGGGTGAAAGCTGCTCAGCCCACAGTCTGTGTGTGCCTATAAATGGATAAGCTCTGCCAGGTACCAAGTAACTAATGGACTCAACAATTAAAAGCTCAGGAGAACGGCATGAGCTAAGTGTGGAGTTGATTGGCTGCAATTATTCATGGCTGTAGTGCACGGATAATGTTTCCAAGGATATGTTGGAGTCGGAACAAAGACTCTGGATGAAGAGAGACCGTCATTGCCTTGCCCATGCCAATGCTCTTCTAATTCTCTGCAGCTTCGCCTGTGTGGGAAATTAATCACGTTTTCTCAGCTTTTCCCTTTAGAGGGCGATCATGTCCCACAGATCTCCGGCGTGGAACCTTCACCAGCGGGAGCTGCAGGACAAGGCAGAGCCTCCCCGAGGTCAGCGGGCCATGGTGCTTCTTCTGAGGGTCTGTGAACCTTCCTAGAGATGCGAAGGAAGTTAGTCTGGTCTGGACAGTTCTGTTTGAACATATTCTCCTTCCTCAGGCAGCTGCAATGCTGCTCCCAAGGGCAATTTGGACATAATTTAGATAGATTTCCTGTGGCCAATCTCCATCAATTATGGTATTTTGTTATTCCAGTCTTTGAAAGGTTGAGCAAGCAAGGAAAGCTGTGAAAAGGGCATGGAGATCTACATGTGAGCTTTTGGGGGCTGCTCTCAACTTCCTCAGAGGATGAGGGGGGCATTGCTTCCTCCAGCAAATCATGAGAGACATTAAACCCCATCTTTCTGATTTCTCAAGGTGCTTCAGTATCTGTCCTTCAAAGCTACAGCATCACCCTCTCTAAGAAGTCTGGGCTTTGCTCTGAGGTGTTTGGTTACCCCTAGAGCAGATAATAGGAGAATGGGCAGAATATATGATAGGGGAAGGAAGGATGGAAAGAAAAATGGAAATCAATGACAGAACTGCTCCAACTTCAGCTGGGCTTTCATCCCATGCTCGAATTGAAGGACAAGATCTTCTTTCAGTTTTTCACCCATTTCCCTTCTTAGTTGCCTGTAAATCCCTCAAGGGAGAAACTCTTCATGCTTACTGATACCAGTTTGATTTCCTCTTGATCCCCCCCTCTGCCTGTCCAGGTCCCACCCATCTGTGCTTTCAGGGGTGCCCTGCTGTGGTTATCTTTGACACAGGGCTGGGGGGAAGCAGACAGGGTATTTGAACCCATTACAAAGCCAGTTCCCCCATTACCAACTCCATCTGGCTGGTGCAGGGGGTAGCTGCATTGATGTTTGTCTCTGTTAGAAATGGTCGGTGCACAGCAGTGCACAAAGAACAGTCCCTTGGGCTAAGGCTGGAGATTCCTTGCTGGTATTTCAGGTACCAGACTTCTGAGAGAAAAGATCTGCACTGTTAAGAAAAGCCAGCCACGAGGTCTCAGATCCTGGTGTCTGCTGCTTCAAATCAGTCCCAAGAAATGGCAGACAGGCTCTTTGGAGCCTCAGCAGCAGACAAGCAACATCTTCCCACATAGGACAAGGCACACTGCAAACAAAACATCCTTCCCTGCTCCCGGCAGCAAAGCTCTTAAGCCTTCATTTAATGTTAAATACACGTTTAAACCTAAACCCATTCCTCCTCAGCATGTCTTGCATGCTTATGTAGAAATTTAGCAGACTCAGGAATGCTCTGCTGTAACTGGGGCCTATCTGAAAGCCTGTGCACTGAATAATAAAGAGCTTTTTCCTTACAGAATATCTGTGCAACGAAGGGATGGCTTTTCTGGGAGCATGGTAGGATCTACAGGCAGGGCTAAGACATGGATTCTGCAGGTAGAGAACAGAAAAGATTGCCCTTTCTCCCAATAATGCAAAAGAAATGGCAGCTTCAGCCACTCAACTCTTGCTCCTGCTTCTGCCCCTTTTTCTCAACTGAATTTTGGGTACAGTGCAACAAAAAGCAGTCCTAGGGTACTGTCTTCAACTGCAACACAGGAAGCAGCTTGAGGAGACCATGTTGGGAATGGAGTCAAGTTGATCAATGACTTGACACCTTCAGGTCTGTGTCCCAGCTGGGCAAAGTGACCATCTTTGTGTGAGCGAGCCAGAATGCATTCCCAGCTCCATTCCTTGAAGGAGCCCATCGGAACAGAGAGCCCACCACAAAATGTTCCAGTGGCAGGGAGTGCACAGATAAATCCTGGGGCCAGACAGATGCACTGGTGCAATAGTAGCAGCAGGAATCCAGTTTCTTCGTGGACGAGCATGTTTAATTAAAATATATACCCTCAGAGCATACCTGGAGATAGAAGGTGTGTACAGCTACAAAAATGCCCTCAGAGCTAGAAGGAAAACCTTAACACTGTAAAGCTAGTGAGACAGGAGAAAGATTTCCTTTTAGGCCATGTTAGATGAGCAAGGAAAGGAGAGTTGTCCTTGCTTTGGGCAAAGAGATGGATCCTCTCTATTTTCTGTGTCAGCCTGAGAGATTACAGCATGGTAAGCAGAAAGGGAGTGAGCTGGTATAAAAATATCTGGGCAATATTAATGAGAAACTTCTCAGGTCCTCTTTTATCACAAACAGTGTTTCTGTTTGCTTGGATTACTTGGCCACCCAGCACTTGGTTCAGCCAACCCAGCCTGCACTGTCCTGTAAGCAATATTTCATCTATCAGGCTCAGATACAAGAAATATGCTGGGCACGCACGGAGCAAACAAGCATATTCTTGCAAGTAATTAGCATAAACTGCACTGAGGTCAAGCGGTTGTGTCGGGAGCACAATGCAAATCAACATTTCCTCCTCCTGCAGATGGAAAATGGAGAATTGCAAATGCCATATCTCCGGCTCACCCCTTGCTTCCCATCGTTTATTCCAGAGGAAGGAGATAATTGTTTCGAGGTGCTTTTGAGAACAGCATCTCTGCTGCTTTCGTTGCTTAATGGGAAAGAACATGTTTAAATGATGGAAGGTCACGTTATTTCAGGACCTTTCAGGTCATTTTTTTCTTGCCCTTGTGGAGGGAAAGCAGGCCAGGTGCCTAATTTGACCA